AGGAGCAGGCAGAGAGAGCAGCCCAGCAGCATCTTCATCACTATGGTTACCTGAAGGAGAAAAAAGTGTTGAAATATATTATTTACAGTCATTTAGTTTGAACAAAACATCAAAAATATCCCAGAGCCTAAAGTGACACCATAGTTCTAGTTTTGTCTGACAGACAGTCCCAAAACCAAAAACAGTCAAATCATACAATATAGACCAAACCATCTGATCCATAATATTCAAAAGCAGGAATCTGTAAATGTCTTTTTTAAAAACAGCATAAACTAAATTAAAGACGATAAACTGATTTTTCAGCACCGTATAGATAATCTGTGTAACAATTCACTATACAATTTGAAGCAAAGGCCAAACACTGTCTCTTCATCACTATGTTAAGAGAATCTAAGTGGCTCTCTCAATGCTCAGGTACCATCACACCTGTGAGCTCACCTGTGTGTGTCGCTCAGAGGAAGAGTCCTGAGAAAGTTGTGTCTCTGTGTCTCCATGCTGTCTCCTCTTATAGTGCAGCAAGGGGATTTTGACAGACACATTCACATACATGCACTTGCACAAATTGGTTTACCAGAGGAGGAAGTGTCTTAGAGGTACAGGAAAAGCCACCTGAATGGAAAAACAAGGGAAAAGGAGTGATAAATAGTTCCTCCTCCCTGACTTGCACTGTGGTCACTGCGAAGAGACACACATCCACTGTCACTGTTGTGCAATTATAGTGAGTCATTCATTAGAGTGTCGTCATTACCCTGCATCATTAATTTAATCAGCATAGTCTTCCTCTTACAAAGTCCTTAATCATTTAGCTAATGAGCCTGTCAATGTCTTTGTGTTTTGCACCAGTATCAGTTTTGTCTTGTGTTTGACGTCTACTGTCTGCTCCTGAGTGCGTAATAAGTGTTCAGGTGCATTACAGAAAGCCTCATCTACACACCGTGAGACATGAGATTCTCGTTTTCCTCCAGGAGCACTCTCTCTGTAAGTGAGTTCACTCCTGTCTGACAAGTCCTGATCGGAAACTCCAACCAGACCTGCTCACCTGCTTGTCTGGCCAGCATAACTTTTGATTACTGCTTAGAAATGTACTCACAGTGTAAAGAATAATTAGCAGGGAAAGGAAATGGGAATAACCCATGTTCATGGAATTATATGATGCTACGGCACCAGTAACAACACATATGTAAAAAGAGAAGTGCAAAATTTCCAGGTCTCTTTCTACATGTCAGTGTCTTCAGTTAAAAATAGCCGACAGCGCTTCCTGTTTCAGGAATGCCCGTGTCTAACCAGTAGAGGTCATCAAAGAGCTTTTTAAACATACTTCTAATACTTCGCAGTCTCTGATTCTGTTGCTACAGGATCTACTCGTTTATCATATCTGTGCTCATGTCATACACAAACACACAAGCTAGATTATGATTTGATGGATGTGGAGCCACGGCTGCTTTTACAGAAAGCGGACCCTTTAAAACAACACATTTTCAACTTGTGACTCCTTGTGGCACGGCTGCATGTGATTGGCAACCTTCTAAACCATGTAGTGATCTTACCTTCATGTTTCATCAAGGAATAAAAAAATTAACATAAAACATAAACTGTTTGGCTTCTGCCTTATATGTTTTGTAATCATCTACCAACTCTTCGACTTAGTTTGTCAGGGTTAAAGGGATCCTGACTGTTGAGTTTGGAACCATAGGATTAAGCTAATATATTTTTGTTGACATTGTCAGATATGAATTCAACATGGTTTTAATTTCTAGCCGGACTAGGATAAGTATTAATGCACCCCCCCTCCAAGAATATCATGATTATTATGATTGTGATAATCATGAGGATATTGATGATGATGTCTTTTATCATTATTATTGCTGTTAGTAGTTAAAGTTGCAGTTAAGATCATAGATATATGAATATATGAATTGATGTCACACAAATTACAGGTCAACGTGTTTATCAAAGAGGCCTTATGTTTTTTTTTCTTGTTAACAAACAAAACTTAGATTATTAAGTATTTCTCATTATAAACTTTGAGCACTTACAAACACACTGCACTAATTAGATTTTCTTATAAAACATTTTCAGATTTTTTAGAAATTATTTGTTATTATCTCTCATTCTCTGCTGATTTGTTTACATCCATGTCAACTGTTGGTCAGTGCAATAGCTTCAGAAATGTGTATGTTGTCTTGCTTTTGCTTTGATTGCTCATAGTGCATGAAGAGGTGAAACACGCAAGCAAAACACTCTTAAACTGATTTTGACTCACCTCAGTCATTGATTCCTATTCCCTCCAGAATTATGGGGACTTTGTTGGTGTCCATTGATGCAGCGATACTATTTGTGGGTGGGTGATAACAAAGTCTTACAAGGAATCAGATTTCTTTGAAATGAATGAAAACGTTTTATTTTCCATTATTTTTACAAAGCTTCTTTATACAGAAGAATAATATACAGAGGACTAAGAATAAAAATAATAGAAAGACATTTTTACATGAAGTGAGGAGTACCTTGAAAATCACGCAGGCACATTTGGGACAGTTTCAACTACATGGTAGTTACGTTTTTTAACGGGTTCTTCTGACCTCCACCGCTGGTCTGTTGGTTCTTAATCGTGGCAGCTGCTCCAATCACATCTGCAAGCGAACATAATACCCTCCGTATGTGTTGTGTCTGTCAATGTACCTGCATTTTCAGGCTTTTACTCAATCTAGTTTTTGATAAACAAAAAAGGATGGATAAACTGTGACTTCTACAAGAACCTATAACCCTTAATGTCGGCATGTCCACTGTGCCCAGATGCTGAGGTCATTGTTCTGGATGTGACAACAATGAAACAATTAAAGTTTTACAGTTTTCTCATTCATCTGGAATCCCTCTTTTACTAACTCGTCTCCACGGGATGTACAGGTGGATATACCTCAGGCTTCACTGAGCAGGATTTTCCTTGAATTTAATTTGTGCACAACGACTCTTTGTGTGAGTGTGTTTGTGTGCTTGTGTCATCAATGTGTTTACATGTGCATGCGTGTGATTTATGTGTGTGGGCGTGCCCCCAGGCCTTGAGGCACGTTTTCCCCTAAATGACAATTGAGTAGAGGTGTCTGAAGCACATAATGACATCCAGAGGGATCGGGGGACTCAGGTGATTTCCATCCAAACGCAGGTACCTGAGGCAACAGAACAGGTTCTTATCAATATAATGACTTGGGATTTAAAAAAAGTCATTTAAGTAGTTTCCTTATTACACATTACGCCTGTCTTTATATTTTATCCGTTTTATCGAGTGCCAATATGTGATTTCATGTGACGTACCTTAGTCTGGGCACAGGGCTGAGATCACTCAGGTCGCTCTGCAGTCCGTAAGGGCAGATCAGAGTGCCGTTGATGCCTGTGAGGAAAACACACACAGTCATGAATGTCAAGTCTTCAAATGTTATTTCTCTTCAAACAAGCACAAAGGCCAAAATGATAACTTGTTAGGCACTTACCAAACCAGACCATTATGCTCGAAATATAAAAATATAAAAAAAGACAAAAATCCGTCACTCTAAGCAAACTGTGTTAATATGGAATCACCTTACATGAGTATTAACTTCTGAAGTGTGGTTTTTCTGTTATTTACTCTGTGAAGCTTCACAAAAAAACGTTCAGACTCAACGTCATAATAGAGGTGGCTGTAAAGTCTTATATTAAACGGACATACTTGTTCCAAGAAGAAAAATACATCACAATTGCTCTGATGACTATGAACTGGCTCTTGGCTATAGCTTCCGAAGGGTTAGATCTAGTAAATGTAAACATATTAAGGACAATAAATAAAAATAAGGTAAAATATGCATGAATCATTTTCTGGGCAAAAATAAGCAGAATGAAACAGCCCTCACATATCATCACCTCACAAAGTCTGAGCAAACACCTTCTCATCTACAAATCTAAAATGGAAAGACATTTGTACTGATTTGGATCTGGTCACCAGAGAAACACAAGTCCAACATTCACTGTCTTTTTTTTTACTCTGATTAGGTCTCCACTCACTCCTGGACAAAATATCTGCTTCACTCATTTTCTGAATGTACAATTTCATAGTTGCTTACTTTATCAGAGCACTGAGCCTGGCCCAAACAACACATTTGCTAATCTAAAAGAAGCTACAAATATGTTTTGAGATGCAAAGTTTGGTTCAACAACATCTTTACATTAAGTGGGGATTTAAGATTCAGATTGAACCACTTAAATACACTTGGTTATTGAGGTTTATGGGACACTAAGTCAAATGGCTTCTTATAAAACATTCCAGATGTAAAAACATGTGTGAACAGATATTCAGTTCAGGAGGTCTGGTAAACAGCAGAGCTTTATGTACATTAAATACTGTGTGAGAGACTGGGCTCGGTTAACATATCTCATAGTCTCCTGTTAGATTTATGTTACCTTTCATCGAGGGGGGAGTGAATCCAAACTTAGACTGTTGGCTGGAAAAACAAATATATGAGCTGAAAGATGCTCAGGTGCTCTGCAGAGCTCAGGGGAAGATTCAGGCAGTAATTCTTTGCAGGGTCGTTACTATGAGCTTTTTTCATTGCAATTCATCATTTGATCCATTGTTGATATACAAATATGGACTTGTGAAGCTTTAAATGTCTTGTAAAGATCAGTGCTGTTCAGATGTCTCAACGTATCATGACATGGATATATTTCTGCAAACTCCCACATGTTCTGAGGATGCAGTCAGACTTACTCTCGATGCTGTTGTGGTTGAGATGCAGGTGCTCCAGGTGACCGTTGATGAGTGGGACAGAAGAGAGCTGGTTGTGGGCTAGCTGCAGGTCCAGCAGGGTGGAGATGTTGAACACAGCCTTGGGAAGTCCTTTATCACTGAGCTGGTTGTAGTTCAGCCGCACAAACGCCAGGTGAGTGAAGCCTTTGAAGTAGTCTCTGAATGAAACAATAAAGAATTGTGAGATTTAAAGCAACACAATGTTAGTCAGGTACACTCAGGGTCCCCCTACATTTGTTTTATTGTCATCGATACAGGTTGTTGATCCTCCCCATGGACAGTGGTACATATATGCATTCGTTGAGAAGCTGATAGAAAAGGAAACGACAACCGCAGAAGCCAAATCACAATCTTGGAGTATTCTTACAGGATTTCACACAAATATGATGCATATTTGTATTTGTTGGGACATCAAAGATGAAACCTAACATCGAAGGGGAGATGCGATGAGTTCGTTAAGCTGTGTCCAGTGCACCAGGACAGTACCTCCTACTCATCCATAAAATTTGTACTATTGTCTGCTGAAGGCAGGTTGTTAGTGTGTGATAGTCCACAAAGCATGTTGCAAGTGCTCTTCCCTGGTACACCAGAGTTGACTTTCTCTCTATCATTAAGTTTGTGTACCATCAAAATGATTTCAAAGCCATAATACATACTATAATATATGCAGTGTGTGTGTATGAGTGTTCATTAGCTATGTGACAATATGTGCACTGTATACTTGCCTCGGGATGTCATTGATACGGTTTCTGTCCAGGAAAAGCTGAATGAGGCCACTGGGTATGCCATCAGGCATCTTCTTCAGGATGTTGTGAGCCAGATTGAGCTGCATGAGGCTCTTCAGGTCCTTGAACGTGTTTTTTCCCAGGCCACTGTCACTCAGCTTAGGAAAAAGAATACACACACTGTACGGTAAAATATCAGTTACACATATTACCTCCGGAGATGCAGGTGGTTGTCGCTGCTTACAGCTGAACGACAAAGTGTAGTATTATGAACCCGAGGTACCCTGGAATACAGAGGTTTACCTGGTTGTGGTACAAGTCGAGCAGAGTCAGGTTCCCCATCTTGCTGAAAGCCCCAGTTGGTATCTTGGAAATGCGATTTTTACTGAGGCGGAGCTGCTCCAGGCTTGCAGGGAGGCCTGAAGGCACTTCTTTTAGATGGTTATGGTGCACATAGAGATAGAGCAGTGAAGGGATCTTCTCAAATACCTGCATGGGAGATAGACACAGAATTTCTAGATGATGTTATGTTATTTTGAAATCTAAAATATGAATCTTGGAAACTCTCCTAACCTGTTTGTCAATGCGATGAATGCGATTGTTTGCCAAGTTCACCCAGCGGATATCTGTGGCGTTGACGAATGACTCTGCCGTCACCTCCAAGATGTAATTATTCTGCAAATACAAGTAGTGGGTTCTGGATGGGATGAGCGGGATCACACGGATGTTCCGGTTCTCACAGTTGAGAGAATTTGGGTAGCTTGCGGAGCATGAACACTCTCTGGGACAGTCAGGATAAATGGAGGGTGGGCCCAGGATAGGTGGGGGGAAGTCTGTGGGCTCCTGGGGCTCTGGCTCTGCCGGTACAGCAGGCTTGGGGACAGAAGGTTTCCTGGAGGTGGCTGGGCGCCTGGTCGGCTTCTTTTGCCGAGGTCTCTGGGTGAACACTGCCCCCATCAGGAGGAACAGAGCCAATGCAGAGAAGAGTCCCGCGCCGGCCTTCATCGTCCTACAACAGAGCACAAAACAGAGGTAGTTCATTGTTAGACTGTATGAACTGTTACATGAGTTAAGTCACAACACACAGTACACAGCTGTTTGTATTTTGATGGTTCCTATTTTGGGAAAGGGCTGGGAAATATTTTTTTGATTTGCTGCTAAAAATATTCCCCATCCCTGCTGGTTTTCGTTCTATTTGTGTTAAGCTAAAAACTTTTCAGGGCTGAACTGGCTAAAACTGTTGTATCCAGACAAACAAAAAGCAGGTGTGTTTTGCATTTGAACCAAGAAAATACTGATAGCCAGTTTGTAAATCATTATGTTGAGCCATCTGCACTTTGATTTTTACATCAAATACTGCTGCCTGATGCTGCTCTTACATAAAAATAGAGAAAATATTTCTATCAATGACCATAGTCTTCTGTTGGGCTGAAGTTAAACAAGATTTGAAGTCTAAGAAAGTAGTCTGGTAAATAATCTGAAAGTACAAATGATAAAATAGTAATACAAATAATGTTAGTGAATAAATGATGAATATATAGAGTCTCAGATATTTGGTGTGTGGTTTGGTAATTTAAGCAAGACAGAGTGTTAGAGGGAAAGTCTGAGGCAGAGTGAGTTGTTTAATTCAGTGGAGGAGGGGCAGAGACTGATACAGGAAATTAATACTTATGAGGCAGTGGAGGAAAAGTTTGGGGATAAAGGCTCTATTGTCAGCACTTGTCCAGAGAGAGAGCTGCGCAGGGGAAGACTGCAGGTCTGGAAGGTTCACGCTCTTTAACTCAGGAGAGGCCCAATGGAAACTGGACTAAATCCCAAGAAGACTCTGATGGATCTTTATCTTAAAACCTTACTCTTTATTATAAGTTTGCAATGATGCATACACGGGCACATGTTATTTTTCACCAGGAATATGTTGTCAGTCTAAGTTATTTTTTCAGAGCTGTTTAGCAGTTTTTACTTTGCATAAATGGGGACATTGGTGTTAATAAACTCATCTAACACACACACACACACACACACACACACACACACACACACAGATCCAGATGTCTGACTTATCATAACAAGAATCTACCATATAAATACCATATAAATTCTTTTGATTTTCCTTCCAGCTCCTGTGCTGCTGCCATCTCTCAATCCCAGAGTTTTTGTATTATCCAGAATGAATCTGTGTGTTTGTTTCTTTGTACCTCATCAGCACGAACCTATTGTAAACAATCACCACGTAGCAGTCAAAATGCTTAATGCTTGAAGCACACTAGATGTCATGTGGAGGCACAAAGGCACTAGTAGTTTTCAATCACTCTGCTCCATGTAGAAACAGTGTCTGGCCAGTTCGATAAACATCACACATGAATCATGGGGCAGGAATGAAGCTTCGAGCCAGAAACTGTCCCGCCTGGAAAAACATATCTGAACTGTTCTCTGACAGTGATCCATGGCACTGCCCTTTCTTTTCCCTCTCAGCCACTTAGAACCTCCCAGCCCCTCGCTCAAAACCAGCTCTCCCCTCCCTGCATGACCAGCAGTCCAGCGGACAACTAAACACTTACAGACATAGACGGTCGCCTCATTGGTCGATTATTTGTGACTTCAATAAGTAAATCTTCATATCAGTGGGAGAACTGTGCTTGATTCTTGAGATTTCTGAGATTCTTGGACTAAATCTTTACACGTCCGGTTTCACTTTGGCTCAAACACCATGAGACCTGGACCATCTCCTGATGCAGCTGCTCAATGGACCCAATGGTGGAATTATTTTTTCAGCTGCTGTGTCCAAGTTCAACAATTCATTTTAAACCTTGTCTCCAGATTATTTTAGATCAGATTTCAGATGACCTTAAATGGAAATCTCACATATTTTTGACCAAAGTTAAAGACCATAGTTGAATGTTGCCTTGAAATTTAAATTACATTCAATTTCTTGTCGTTATAAATCTTTTCATTGCATCTTCTTTACATCAAAGAACTAAAATATCAAAACAATTGCAGATTTATTTTGGATGACCACTATTTTTAGAAGCCTTTTTAAAGTGTTATCAAATAAGTTCTAATTATCTCTGATGTCTTTTGTTAATATCAGAACTGTTCTTTATGTTCCTGTCTGTCAGGAGATGAAGATTATCCCTCTTGAGGAGCAGCCAGAGAAACAAAGCTCTTTGTTACCACTAAGTCTTTGAAGATAAGCTCCTTCCAGTTCCTTCCATTTATTGCAGAACTGAGTCATTCTTCAAACCAAAGATAATTACCAGTGTTTCATAAAAGACTGAATAAGAGTCACGTCATGCACAATGGAGCTTAGACGTGTGACTCAATATTTCTGAAAGTATCTGTGACTACTCAACACAATTTGTTCTACATGTTGTTGCTAATAAACTATGGTGATGCAATGTATTTTATGTTTCAGTTCTGCACTGTCAATGCACCAGTGATCAATGTACAGTTTGTGTCCTCTTACTGAAAACATCCACCAGAGGATTCTTTGCTCTGGTGCCAAAACATTTCCTCATGTGGGTGTGGCAGTGGTGCAGGCCATGCAGATGTAGACTGGCTCTACATCTGGATGTGCAGTATGAGGGTTATAAGGTGCTCTGACAAAAATGGTGAACTAATAGAAATATAATGATTATAATCCAAACTAATTTGAGAGTGTTGGAAAAAAAACACAGAGCTCTGCACTGTCAGGCGCCTGCAAGCTTCTGGTCTCCTGCCTGACTGGAAACTGTCATCAGTACTTCTTTGTCCTGATCATCAGCCAGCGTAAACTAGACTCATGCATACTGAGGGATATTTTTTAAAACGTTCAACCCAATAAAATACAATAAATCAGTGTGTACCTGTGATTTAAAAAAAACATGCAACCCTTTCTTTCTTTTTTAACTTTGGTCATCACCCATCCAGGTAAGATTATCCATTGTGATATGTAACGACAATATAGTTTAAATAACAATTTCACAGCTGATTAAGTCAAATTCGATTTGGCAAAAAGAAATCCTTCTGCAGCAGCAAAAGTCAGCAACATTTTTTCTAACCAAGATTATATATTCTTTGTTTTCATATTTCAATTTCCGTGCAGCAGCAGCAACAGCAGCAGCAGCAGCAGCAGCAACAGCAGCAGCAACAGCAGCAGCAACAGCAGCAGCAACAGCAGCAGCTCTCCTCACTCACTGATGGGAAACATGCAGTGTGCAGGAGCAGAGAAAACTTAAGAATCCTAGTGTGCAGCAGCTCCACGGAGGACAGAGTACCACTTTGTATGGCACAGCGTTTCTATAGAAACACAGGAGCATGGCCCAGCTGTGCTGGTGCCAGGATTCTACCTCAGTCCACACACACACACACACACACACACACACACACACACACACCCACACACACACACACACACACACACACACACACACACACACTGCTCCTTCTGCTCTGCTTCTTTTGGTTTCACACACAAACACACTCTAGATTCTTATCAACCGTTTTTCATCAAAAACAACAAATTGAGTTTCTTACCTGCCTCTGGTACCTGCCCTGCTTTGTAAAGTCACAAGTTTTGTGTCTTTTCGTCTCTCTGCCTCTCTCACTCTTGTCCTACCCCTCTCTCTCTCTTTCTCTCTCCCCCTCTTCCTCTGTTTCTCCGTCACTAACCCTACCCTCCCTCTCGTTTGGTGGACAGGCCAGCCTGTTGGGTTTGTTCTCTGGCGTTTTTTCCCTCTGAAGGTCACACTGGTCCTTTCTCCCCCTCTGCTTGGCTCAGGGCCAGAAAGATTTAATCTTAACTCCTTCTGGAAGCTCGCAGACTCTTTCATGTGTCCACATTGTGTCACAGTTTGTTATTATTTTGAGCATGTGAGGGTATGTCTCCAAAAGACAAAAAAATAAGGGTGGATGCAGGTTTGTTTGCATATTTGTATGTATACACAAACATGTCAGGATTCGGTGAGAAAAACTGGGAACACTGGGTCTCTGTTGGGGAAAGCACAGCTGTAATTGCATCTCTCATTTGTCTCCCACCCACTCGCTATTGTACTGCACACAGATCCAGTCATGTGTTTTTCATTAGCAGCATTTCTCTGTCGACTCCATGGCATCTTTTTCTGTATCAGCGAAATGTCCAGGAGGGTTTTTTTCCCTCCTGCATCAGTAAACTGATTACTGAGGTCCAGCTGAGGGATGGGGGTGTGTGGAGGGTCCTTCAGGAAGTGGGACTGTGTAGGATTCTGATTTACACAGTGTAAATGTGTTGGTGTGTGTGTGTGTGTGTGTGTGTGTGTGTGTGTCAATGGGGGTTAGGTGATGGACATGCTGGCCTGCATTCCTGCAGAGTGAGCTGCAGCAGAAAGATAATGAGCTGAACACATGTTGGGAAAAGTCTCAAACACATGTGTATGTATGTGTGGCTCCTTTATTCTACTTTGTTCTCATGTTATTTCTCTTTTCTGAGATTTTTCTCCACTTCTCTACCATCTCCTATTCATTTAGTCTTGGTTTGGAATGCTGAGCTGAGCTGCATCACATAACTGGTGCACTAAGACAAGAAAAGATTCTTCAACAAAGAGGACAGAGGGAGAAACCAAAAAAATGGAATATGTAACCACATGTGTTGCTGTTTCTCGATCATCTTCTCTGCTACAATTTAAGAGAGGCTGCAAGGGCACTTTTCAATGACTCAGTTCCAGCAGCAGATTCTTTTCTGTTAAATGATTTTTGCGCAGGAAACTTAGTCACCATCTGTTTCTGGTATGGAAATCTGATTTCTGCCATGATTAATGATGAGTGCAACATTTCTTGTGATGCAATCCATGTCACCAATATGATGTCATTGAACCCACTCTCAGGTGCTTTATGTAGATCATTAAAAGCCAAAGTCTCCTTGTGTGCAAATCCTTTGAGACATAACTGTTTAGATTGACCTGTCCTGGTGGTAAATTTCATTCTATTTATTATTATTATTGTATTATCACAACTACTAATATAGAGCTTTCATGAAATTTTTAGGACTTTAATGCTAATTTACTTAACTATATAGTCCAATACATGGTGGAAACATCATAATATGCAAATGCCAGGTCAGGAAAATTTGGCATCAAGTTGAACTTGACATAAGAGCTGATAGGCAAGACATGCATGCAACCAAAATTTCTAACAACCTAGACAGCAATAAATGAAACACAGCAGTATGAGGAATTGATTTGAGTCCATTGTCAGTTTTCTAAATATCGGCTGATTAAATAGTCTCCAATATACGACTTGGGGTCCCTAGATTGGGACACGGCTTGTTACAGGCCATCGTTTCATGGCTCTACTTAGATACTGAGTCATCCCAGGAATAATAATTTTATACATATTATATTTTTCCTTTTTATTCATCGGAGCTTCAGTAACTAAGCTTTGAGGGTAAAACAGTGTAGTTTGGATTCACACTGAGTCACATGTCCTGTGGAATGTAACTGCTCAGCCTGCTGCTGATCCACAGGGTCTGGACAGAGATGCTTGAATGTCTGTGCTCTGGTTTTCAGGGCTAAATTCAACCTGTTGATTCAAGAAGAGATATTTATACAGGAGAAAACTTGCATTTATTGCAGGAAATCCTTAAGCAGAAGACCTCTTCATTGCTATGAAGCAGATGGACTGAGGCAGGCTCAGGCCCCGGCCCAAAATGACTTGATGTGTATAATAAGCTGAGAACTTTCCAAGAACAGCATGTTCTGTCATCTGCACAGTGATATGGTTGATTGAGCTGTTAAGTTTAAAGGAGATGTGCTTGAGACGAAGCACAGCTACAGCAATACTAATAATCTCCTCAACATTAAACATGTACTAATCTGTTTCACTGCATCAACAAGATGACACAGCATCCTGCAGCGTGTATACATGCATTTGTTCTGCAGGCTGCGCCCACTTCCCCCTCGCCAAAGTCAACTCCAAATCCTGCAGCTTTGGACGCCTTCCTTGGAAAACACTAGCAGTCTTTCATAAAACCACATTTTTGCTGAGTTTTCATTGTCCTTGCACTTTCCATTTTCAAACTTTTTTATATAATTATTCACAATTATTTTTCCCAATTTTTTGATGACAATTTTTTTTATAACTGTATTAAACATGTATAAACTTTAGGCTTCTTTAATCTGCCAAAGAAGAAGCGTACAGACTTTGTGTTCAGTTGCTGTGCTGTTGATGTGTTGCTACACCTCCAGAATCTGCCCAAGAATGTGCACGCCACCACAACAGGTAGCTGGAAGGACTTTTGTTTGTCTGTGAAGTCAAATGTGAAAGATCTCTGTCATTATAACACTGGCAAAATAAGTTTCTGTCCATCAATATAATTGCTATTCACCTTTTCATACTTTACCATATCAATGAAATGGTGTCAGCATATTATGGATGCTAAAGACGGCTGATGAGGCTTAGATGCATCTCAGCATGAAATTGTACAAACATGCAAATGTTGAAAAGTTCTCTCAGGGCATTTTCAAATCATCTATAATGAAACCGAATCAAACACTGTCCAGCTCAGACAGGCTTCAGCTCATGCACTGCTGACTAACAATAATCTAACTTGCTAGTTTATCTGGTGAACTGTGGGCTGTGAAACTTTTAATATCACACACAGTAGTGCTCTCATAATATGGGGAGCAGCATTTACATCTTGTTTCAAAGAGATTAATTGCAGCATTAGATATGGAGCCAATGCACGCCTCTGTGTGTTTCTTTTTATCTGCTTCACTTTCAATGTGATTGTGGTTACTGTTGACTCAAAGTAGTTACTGTTGCCATTTCTGACTCTAAACATGTAATTTACTGTGATAATGGCGGCATGTTTACCTTTCAAAGATGCCAGTAATTTCTAAAACAATGGGTTCTTGGTTTCAGCTGCAGACAGAAGGAGGCTTCTCATTTCTTGGCTGAAATGATGATTCTTGCTGGCAGAATTGATCATTGTTACCTCGCAACAAACATTATCAAAACATGAGTCAAAACCTAGCTCCAGCTGATATTTTGATGTCTCTGTCTGATATTCAAATTCACTAGATCTGGATTATTGTTTGTATCATTACCAAATCGTGCACACTGTCACTGCCCTAAACATGTCCGACTTTTCATCAAGATCCATGACTTGTTCCCTGAGAAATCAATGAAAGTGTTGAAAAATGACCCAACTCCCCAAATTATCCCCTGATTTTAAATACAATTTTAATTTTGTTTCATGGATATGAGTTGACTAGTTTTGGCATTATCCTGCAAACTAACAACTGCTTGGTGGAGGTAACAAGACCCTTGTTAACATGGGTCTTACATACCTACAATATACAACACTGTGTAGGTAAAGAGCAAAAACAAAGTTCTTGGCTCACATTGAGTATCACTCTTGCCACAGATTCATGCACAACACCTCAACATGAACTCCAAAGCCAGACCTGCCACGTCTCGTTGCAGTTGTTAATATGTGGCGATTGGACAATGCCTGCTCAGGGGAGGGATTTATTAAACGCTCAATTGACTAGGTTTAAAAAGAATTCAGAAAAGCATGAGGTCCTTTACCACTCACATCATCCTTTTCAGGAGATGCATGGTAATACAGGTAATATGCTACATATTGTTTTACTGCATATGGTATTTTGGAGACTGTGAATGGATTCTCTCCCAACATGAGCCTGTATGTAGTATTGCTGGGGTACAGCAGTGTGTGTATGTTAGCTGCATGTGTTTCACATAAAGGCCTCTGCGCTGGTACTCAGTTAAATATGGAATGTGTGATATAGGCTCCATAAGCGGTCGAACTCTCCTCTCACACGCAACACACATAGATCACAACATTCAGCCTGGACCCTATACTCCACATCTCCCGTCTGTAGCCACTCTCATGTTTTGTTAGCAAACTTATGCAAGTGTCACAGGGAAAAGAAAAACCACAGCTACTCACTGTGCTCGGAGCTGTGTTGCATTATCAACACGATGACGTGGACAGTGACGAGCCTCTGGGAAAATGTTAGGAAATGGTGTCATAATCAGACCGCTCCAATATTATGATAAAACTCAGGACGTTTACTAACAGACAAAATCCTCAGTATCTCTGTTATGTTAGTTATCACGCTTATTGAAAAAATATTGATGTGAGCACAAAGACTAGATTTGGCAATTTGAATGAAAAATGTGCTCAGAGTCTATAATCTTGGCCAAAGCTCCATTTTTCAACAATGGAAGATTTTGCAAAGATTATGTTCCCTGCCATATTTCTGAATTAAATTACTGCGAGTTTATGTTCATGACTATTTGTGAAATCATATTCAAAAATTAAATAATGCCATAAGTAAAAGTAAGAGACAAAAACAACTCTGGGTGATGTATTTAGTTTTAACCCCACTGCATATTGATGACTCTGTGGATCAGAAGTGACTCTTCAGACCGTATAGGAAATAGAAGCTAGCAGAATCAGCATCTGTGTTTCTGTGTGTTGGTGTGTGTGCATCTAATGAGAGGGTTTGAGGTCTGAGTCTTGCTTGTAAACAGGCCTGTAAATGCAACTAACGGCTTCCTCAGTCATGTAGCCAAAACCAGACTTACCATACCAGTCTGCGATGGATTCAAATTTGTCCTGCCAGCAACAGACTCTTCACACAGCTGGGAGGTCCAAACCTCTATGTGTATTATTTACCAGTTGGTTCGTCATCCTGTCCAGTGGTTTTGTTTTATGGCCTGCCAGTCAGATCTGAATCAATCATGATCTCAGCAAATAACAATGCTTCAGAGTCACTAACCTAAAACCTCATACTTTATACATAATCCTAATACTCTTAATTTCACTTTTACTGAGTACAACTGGTTATTGGTTCAGTGTGTAAGATTTAGGTGAAAGGGATCTATATACAGAAATCAAACATAGGATGATCCTAGTGACTTCTTCACCCTAGAATGGGCCTTTTATATTTAAATACTTTATATTTATAAAACTATAAAACTATATTTATCTACTATCTCAGACGACACTATTCAAATCAAGAAAACAAACCTCAATGGGGACGACTCACAAGTTTGTTTGCCATCATCTCTATAGACTTGTGTATAAAGATGGATGACACGACATGGATCAAACTAAAAAGTCAAAGTACACGTCTGTCAAGCCCTAGGTAGTTTTGTCACGCTGATGTAAGTTCAAGTGTTTATTTTCCAGGTAAGTTTAGTTTTAATTAGATATTTGATATTACTAAAACAGGGTGAAACATCACGATTGACAATAGTGACTGACTGATAATTGGACGAGCCCATGTTTTGACGTGAATTCATTATCGCAAAAGCACACACTCTGACTCCAAATGTTACAAAATGGTGGTGTTCATTTCTGGGGTATTTTATATTCAATTTTGAACAGTGTGATGCATCGTCACTATTTGATGATACTTCACTGTGTTCATCTCCAAAAATAACCTTTCATATTATATTTAATTGTTAATATGAAGAATATTGATGGTGCAGCTTTAAAAAAACTTACAAAATAAGTCTCTGGTAGCACAGGTCCCAGACTATTGAATTTCTACCCTCATAGCTAATTTTATATGGAGCTCAAATTTACAAACTGCTTTTATACAAAGAAATGAAAATAAAGACGCAACCGAGAACCATCTGAAAAAATATATGGAGAGATTTCAAAGAACCAACCAAGCTTCCAAACTACCAAACCTGAGTAGATGGTGTTTTCGTGATGCATCGTGTGTTTCTGTGGGTAGAGAGATGTGATATGTGAGCAGATCTCTGCAAGTCTCTGTGTTGCTGCTGTGACACTGCAGGGAGCCTCATACCAAACTGTTTTCACTGGTGGTTTCCTAGGCAGGGTTTTGTTCAGAGGATAGGAATGACCTGAGGTTTAATGATTCCACCAGTCATAGATTTATCCTGTTTTTTAATGGCTGCAAATATAAAACCCTTTAACGGTGAATAACTTTTAAACTAATCGGAATGAGTATCTTTCTTTCAACCAGATTTTATGGAAATTGAACTCTACACCACTACTGTCATCTGAAATCTAAGACCAGAACAGTAGCAATCATCTATAATAAACAATTATCAATTGGAGCTGTTTAGCAAATCAGTGAGTCTGGAGTGGAGGAATGAATAAGATAATCGATTCCATGATTAAGGATCATTTCTGTCTCTTGTGGTTGACGCAACAAAAGCACATGTTCAGACAGAGGCTCATTCCACTGTGAACTGCCGTCCAGCCGCTCAGGTGTTCACACGTGCCATCTGGCTCTACAGTGTCAACACCAGCCAGCTGGCAATTCCTGAAAACCTACGTCTTCACAACAGTTTAAGAGACACTGGTGAGCGTTCACTAATACAAACTGTGTAACTTATTACGAATGTGTTTTCTTTTATAATACTGGTACTGTTTCCAAAGTGGTGAAAAGAAGAGCTAATGCCACATTCATATAGGAAGACATGACATTGTAAACTAACACATCAACATATTATATCTGTAGCACTCAATGAAAATGTCAATATGATGAAGAGAATAATAATTATTTATCATAATGAACGAAAACAACAAATGGTAGCATTGTTGCTGGTCACATTTTAGAGTGCGGGTCTCGCACAATGAGTGCACTGACCATAGAATGTATACAAAGATGGAAGACTCCACTCCCTTCCACTATCCAGAAATGAAGCTGGAATATGAACACTTCTTGTGCATTTGGACTCAAGGCAGCAATCAAGGGATTTAGCAGCAGTTGCAAGGTTCTGCAAACACAGCTTTTCATTTATTCATTGTCATTGGGACATAAGAGGATTTCAACAAACAAAAAATGAAGTCTGAAGACGATCATCTAACCCAGCCTTTAAAAAAGATGGATGCAGCAGCTGCACGGCTTCTCTTGTGTTTATAGACTCTCAGCAGCAACATGGAAACAGGAAACTGTTTTCTTTCTGCTTCCATCCATCATGACTTCATACATACCCAGTGCACCGCGGCTGGTCATCACTGGGAACAAGCTTACACAGACTTCTATGTTTAATAGTTGTCCCTCAAAGGAACTCTGTGTGAGTGAATCCTGCTTCTGGTAAATGTTGTTCCAGACAGAGTCTGATCGTACCGTCAAACACACAGCATTAGACATGGTGTCACCTGGAAAGTATGGCGGTGGCTTTAGTAAATGCACACACACACACACACACACACACACACACACACACACACACACACACACAACCACACACACAATTAAATCATTAAATTAAAGTCATGTTTTTATGCAAATATACATTTTATGTGTTATCAGACAGTCTGACTTTTATAAATTATTTGTAGTAAACAACCTCAGTGCAGAAAATCAGTAATTTGTTAGTAAATTTAATTTGAAATACTGATCATATAAAAATATATAATATAAATGTTAAAACTGTAGTCGGTTACAAAAATATATAAAATATGGGTTTGTTTTAATGGTAGACAACCCACAAATGTTGGGAAGCCTAAAAAGAAATGGCTGCATTAAATCACCTACAAAGTGAAAGCAAACATCTAAAAACCAAATAAAATGAATATTCGATTCGACTCAATTTAAAGTGACTCCATATTTTGTTCATACTTTGTACGCACAACGAAACAAATGCTTTGCATTTACTGGAAAACTGCACAGTCAGTCCTCGTTTTTCTGTTATTACATATGTGACCACAGTGACTTGACATTTATGTTGCGATGACAAGATCTTTAACTCTTTATTGTCAGGAGGTGTTGTGATTATGAGAAAAGCAACACAATAGGCCTTCACCATTTGGGGAAACGGCACCTATGACACAAATTTACTAGCTCGTCTTTTCTGGTTTGTGGCCCTGAGAGGAAATTCAGACAGTGTTACGATCAGTGAGTCAGCACATGGTGAAAGTTCTCATTAAGCTGAGTCAGTTGTAATAAGAAGCTGAGTAAGTTGTGAAATATGGAATTCATAATTATGAGATTACAGGAATCATAATGACATTCATTCAGTGGCTTTCTTGCTCTGTTTGTCATTTGATTATCTTTTAAAGTTTGAAATCAAACTCCCACTGGGGTCTGCCCCTCTCTGCAAGTCTGCAATTCTGTTGGCAACAGAATTACATAAAAAAGAGAGTGGGGTTCTGTTTGCAAAATGAAAAATAACTTATGCATTTTTCAATCTATGTATTTTGGATGTCATTGCTCCAACCTGTTCTCCTCAGTCTGCATGTAAAAGGCGTCCTCTAAATATAAACTGAGATGAAATGAGTGCAGACATGTAAGTCAACCACAATTCAATTCTTTAACATGTCATTAAAACCCAAATGTGCGGGTATTAAAAACCGAACAGTCTCCAAAAATACTTCTGCTGCTACTTAGATCTTGTGGTGTCTGAAATGCTATGTGTAGTCCTCCCCATAAAAGAAACGTATATGTGGGTTTGAGGTTCACCGGTCCTGAGGAATTTGGAGTAAGCCTGAATAAATAGTAGGGTGTTAGGACACACTTCAAAGGGGAACACTAAAATTTGAGATAGTATCTCTCTTCCCGTTACTGGATAACCGGGAAGAGCTGGATAAGTAACTAGATGTGTTTTAATTAGGTTTACGCAAACCCTCCTATATAAACGAGGAGATGAAGTTGCTTCGGGAGAAGAGATTCACATTGGCCCCGAATCTCTCTCCAGGCAGAAGAGAAGATTCACATTGGCCCCGAATCTTTCTCCAGGCAGATTGCTTTGCTTGTACTGATGCTGAACTTTTTGTATTAAACCTTTATATACAATCAAGACGGTGTCATCGGAGATTCCTTCATCATCTTCACATCATCGCAACCCCAATATACGACAATCTCTCTATATTTGCCTAAAATGTATGTATTGTTCATTTTACTTGTACACATACTGTACTTATAATTGCATTTGCATGTATTATTAGTACTCTTCACAGCTGAACTCTAGATTGAATAACAATGTTCATTTTTCATTTTGAGTTATTGTATACAGATGCATCCATAAAAAGACACTTACATATATTTCTTTGTTCGATTTGTTTTTATTTAAACATTTTTAATCTTCCATAGTTACCATCATAATGAAATCACTGATACATTGTTGCTGCTGTTACTATGCACATTTTGCTTACTGATTTATTGATTTTTTTAATACAAGGTCACCTCTCTTTATTATAAAATAGAAAAAGTTTGACAAATCAATGTTGAAGTTTACTTTCTTACATTTATATTATATTTTCAATGGCTGAATCAAAAAAGTTTCATCTCTCACCCTGCTCCTGTGGTGGATGGTGAGGCAATTCAACACTGCAGCTGACTGAGTCAGAGGCTCTGAAGAGAAAGCTCCTGCATGTTGCCATTAATACATATTTCCCTTTTCTCTCAGACAGCTCACTTTAACCAGAGCACTTTTCTCTGTACAGTCAGAAATGAGAGGGGTTTGTCACAGTTCCTACACGCTAATAACACACAGATGTACAACAATGCTGAGGCTGGACGGGATGAGAGACAGAAACCAATGGGAATGCGTTGGTGGTATGAGAAATGTTTTGATCAGAACTTTTGGCATTACAGTAAAATAACACTGGTTAAGTGAATGAGTTCAAGCTTTGGCATATTTTGAAGGTCAGTTTTCTCTTCAGCGTCTGACTGTGGAGTGAAGACAAATCAAATTCTTTCTTGCTATGAGGTTGGGTTATTTGAGTTTATAAACGATGAGTTGGACATAAACGATGAGTCATGACATATTCTTGTTCACTTGCATGCAGGAAATCCTAATTTCAGGTGGGGTCAGATGTAAATACTTTCAAGCTCTCGCAGGCAGTTGATCCAGTCAGAGGGCATCTGATGGTAGGACATTTTGTTTCCGTCCAATCGCAGGATCTTCATCCTGGAGTAGGACACAGGTCCCACCTCTCTGCAGAAACTGGTTATGTTGAACTCTGTGATGAACAGATGGGAAACAGACCACATTTTATCAGAAGAGACCCATAATTTAACCAAATAACAGCCATCTGCTTATCACTGTCGTTTCAAATCATTGTTGATACTAATCCAGTATTGAGAGCTTTTATTAACATCATATAATATGTGCTCAACACATCTATATGCTTAAGGTGAATCCCTTCAATTACATTTCTTACATGTGCAGTCTGTGAATGTCCCTTTTCCTCTCAGAGAGTCTGCATTTACCATAAGATCTCTCGCAGGTGGAAGCAGAGGCAGATTGAAACCACAAGACCCTCCTCTGCTCTCTTACTTTGTTTCAGTTGTGAGTGTTTCTCGGCTCAGACTGAAGGCCTTGGAACAGGAACGGGTCTAGAGCTGTGAGACTGCTAGATAGACGATGAGGTGTGTGTTTTTGTGGTACACTGCGGTATAAAAAACCCTTTGCAACTTTGCCAGAGTGCGTGAGCCAAAACTGTGCAGAAGGTCATCACCGCTGAATGGTTGTGTGTGAGTCAAGATCAATATTTGGCTCCTGGCTATAAGGCTGCTGCAATGTGAAACGATTCCTACCTGTCAAAATTGGGACAGAATGGCGGGGAGCAGATAGAGACAGAGCAGAAGGGAGACTGGAGAGGGGAACAGCATGTGCTTCTGGCTCATCTGGCACGCTCCCCTCTGAATCCTTTACAGATGTTTTCATACCACTCTCCTCGCTACTTTCCCCCAATCCAAACACCCAATATTCCCTCCCCTCTTATCTCCTCCACCCTCTTTTCACTTTCTTTCCAGTCTATGTCTCCCTCCCAACTTGAGTCCCTCCCCTCCCCTCATTCACGCCCTTCATCTGTTTCTTTCCCGCCTTGCCTGCCAGCTGCCCAGCCAATCCTGAGTCCACATTGAGTGAAGAGCTGTGGTGGAGGAGGCTGAAGCTATTCTGGTTTCTTCACAGTTTCAGTCACATTTTCCATATTTCTCCTTCCCCCTTGCTGCAGTGTTTAGCTGTCTGACCTTCAGAGGTGGTCACACACATACCTCAATAATACTGCAATTGAAAAATGCATGAAAGTGCACAAGTGTGGGACATTTGAAGTCAGTCTCTATAAAGTGTGAAAGGAGAATGCTGCTCTGTGTGTTTGCATGCACATTTCCTTTATGTATGTGTGCACCTCACCTTGTATTTCATTGGCCTCCAGGTAGAGGTACTGTAGGCTGGAGGGAACTGTAGGAATGGTTGTTAGTTTGTTGTAAGAAAGGTCCAATTCCACCAAGCTGGAGAGCTTGAAGACCCACGGGTGGACACCACTACTCTGCAAACCACAGTGACTTAAACGCAGGTACTTAAGCTTTAGGAGCCCGGTGAAACTTCCCTTATCCAGCCCAGATAAAGAGTTATTGGACAGATAGAGCTGCTGGATGGACGAAGGTAAATGTCTTGGGATGGTTGAGAACAAATTTTCACTGAGGTGTAACAGATTCAGACTGATCAGACCTGCAACAAAGCAGAAGATAAAAACAATTAAACATGCACAAATATATACTGGTAAATATATTTGACAGACAGAATTAGGGTTAACAATCTGTTCAGAACCTAATGAATTCCACTTGGAAGATTGTACGTGTGTTGTGTATGACAGTTGTTTGTACTTTGTTTATTGTAGTAATATTCCTTTGACGCCCTCTTGGCCGGGCTCTTGAGTAAGAGATTTTAATCCCAACTAGACTTTGGCCTAGATAAGAATAACATAAATATGCCACTGATCCAAGTCATTGAAATAGTTTATATTAAAATCATATCTGACTGCTGCATTTTTTGGAGGTAAAAGACAGCAGCACAAAGCTGTGTCATACCTGCTTACTTTTATCAAGTGTACAGGGGTATATGTGATGCATGTTTAGAGAGGAAATTACACATTCCACTACCTCTAAGGTCTCCCTCTGTGATGGTTTGCAGTCTGTTTCCCTGCAGCAGCAGCAACGTCAGGTTCTGCAGTTTCTGGAAAGCTCCGGGGCTGATACTGCTGATTTGGTTGTGAGCCAGGCGCAGCTGCCTGAGTCCTGCTGGTAGAACGTCGGGCACTGAAGTCAGGTGGTTGTGGTTGGCAAAAAAGTAGCACAGCTGGGTCTGGTTCTGCAGGGCGTCCAGCGTGTCACTCGTCAGCAAGTTGTGGTCCAAGATGAGCCAGCGGAGCTCGGTAATGTTGACCAGTACAGAGGAGGAAAAGGACAAGATGTTGTTGTGCTGCCAAAAGAAAAAACATTACATGATGGATTTCCTCACTTCCACATGAACTAGGACATAGAGGAGATTGTTCACTGTGAAGTCTCTACAGTATGAACAGGAAATTGAAAACTACTTTGGGTTAGTGGCAGACCATTGTAAAGATAAAACATGCTTGGTGGCTCATTCAGTCTTTTTCTTACCTGTAGAAAAAGGTACTGAGTTGTGTCCGGCAGGCCGTCAGGGATGTCTGCCTGGCCTCTGTGGTCACAGTAGATCGCTGTGGGCCACTGGATGGGGCAGTCACACTGTTGAGGGCAGGTCTGCGGGTTGTTAGCTCGGAACCAAGCTGGGTCCATCCTCCCCTGCAGGCTCAGCACACTGGGCTCACCCAGCAGGCGGTCAATCCACAGAGGAACACCTCCGTAGTCCGTGTCGGCGACAACAGTGGCCGAGGCAGAGTGAGAAACACACAGTAGCCAACCAGCACAAAAGAAAAGAGCCATGGAGACAGCTGGGTAGAAATCCTACAAATTAAACAGGAAAATAAAAGTGTTAAACAGGCCGATTTTATGTATAAATATCAGATCATGACTATAACCCTGGGAATGTTTTAAAATGTCTTCTGTGGTTATTCTGAGACAATTACTTCAATGATATCACATGGAAGTCTCAACTTGGGCGTGGGTTCAGACTGTGATGTGGTATTCACCTGCCAGAGAGAGTTGACTGCAACAAGTTATGGAAAGTTCAGAAAAGAGAACTTTTGGAGCTTGACCCAACTGCATAATTGTTGGCCATTAACTTTTAACTATGCTTGTACCATGGTCCCAGAAATAGCAACACTGGTCTGCCTGATGGTTTAGTCAATCTATCACTTTGCTCAGGACTAAAATATCTGGGTTTCAGTCTGAGGTCAAGCAATGTTACCTTTTTATTGCAGCCCCTTTTGTTATGTCAATAATTCGTAATTAAATTGAAATTGTGCATCACTGTCTGAAATGCAGCAAAAGTTGATAAAGGTTTGCATACATTTGTTTCAGCGATGACGCCTCTGTGTTTGAGTTTGAGAAGGGAGACTGTCTTCCCTGCATGCACAGCTGTCGGTGGTTACTGTGATACCCTCAGAGCAGGTATGCACAAAAGCAAACACACAAAAACACACACCAAGACTCTCATTTAGAAAGAGTTGCATCATTAGGATGTTTGATGAGCAAGTCTGTACAGTCTTACAGTACAGCACATGCTCCCTAGGCTTCCAAGACATTAGCTGAGTTATGCAATAACATCTCGTCAGAGCAGCTGTAATCAAACGGACACGTTAGAGCTCTCAGCATTTCCAGTTGTGCCAGTTTTCCAGTTTTTGCAGACAAGAAACAAACAGACACGTACCTGTAATCAGCAGTTGCAGAGCAGAGACAGGTTGCCTTGAATTTCCAATGAAATTATGATATAGTTTGTTAATGTGGCTGCAAGTTTGTGTGTGTGTGTGTCTGTGTGTTTGTGTGTGCACTAACGTGTCTGTGTGTTTTCAAGCAAGGATATGTGTTTTTGCCTTTCTTTAAACGCTGCCCACATCCCAGACCTCCTCCATAATCTTCGCTCACTTGCTTCTTCCTTTTCCCTTCTCTCATCCCTTGGTAACAGTTGAACCCTCGTGTTGGTGAAACATGTTTGCTTATGTAATGGAGATGGAAAAAGAAAATACACAGAAAGACGGATGAGGGGTGAAGAAGAAGGAAGAGAAGAGGACAGAAATGAAATGAGGGCAACAGATCAGTTTGGATTCTGATGCTGCAGAGCTAAGATGACAACATTTGATCAGCATTCAAGTATCAGTGTGTGTGTGTGTGTGTGTGTGTGTGTGTGTGTGTGTCTGTCTGTGTCTGTGTGTGTGTGTGTGTGTGTGAGACTGGTTCTAGATGTGGAGACATTCAAGCCACAAAGTACCTGGGGAGCCAAAGAGACCATTCTGTGCATGTGTGTGTGTCTACGTAACTCTGTGGCCATCTGTGTGTGTTTGCTTGTGTGCGTGCATGCATGTGTATGTACGTGTGTATCTCTGAAATAAAATGTGTCTGTGTCTGCATGCATGCGTGTGTGTGTGTGTGCGTGCATGAGCGTGTATGCATTAGTGTCTGTATGTGTGTGTGTGTGTGTGTGTGAAGGAACTTCTTGCAAGCATCTGAGCACAGCAGAGGAAAGCGATTCCAGATTCCGCTCCCCTCAAATAGGACAAGTTGCTGTGAGAAGCAAGATATAGTAAAATAGTAACAAAGAGGCAGAGAAGTCCTGATCTGTAAATGAAATGAGCGCCCTCTAGGGAAAACAAACAGAACAACACCATCTACAGACCTCAGCTAAACTTAAAATAAGTGCCTGTCTATGATTTATTTGGGGTAAAAAAAGGTGATGAAGCATTTTTTGGAACCACAAACCTTGAAAAGAACGTGTTTTACTGTAAATACTACAGTGCTCTTTCAGTGTGTGTGTGGCAGAGGCTTCTGTGGTAGTTTAGTGTTAATTAAACGTACAGTTAATGAATGGGCCGGCAATCAACAGGGCAATAAAAACAATGTGTGTGTGCAGTTCAGCTTCATGTGTCAGATACATCAACGACTAATTTTTCCAGGCTCATTGCTCATTTGTAATGAAAGAAAGAATTTCTACAAATGACTGACCAACATATTATAACATTGCACCTATAAAAACACATAGGTGGCATGGTGGTAAAGTGGTCAGCACTGCCACTTCACAGCGAGAAGGTTATGGTTAGAATCCTGGTTCTGCCGGGCCTAAATTGTGTGGACACCTGCAGGTTTTTCCCCTCTACCACAGTCCAAAGTCTTGTAATGGTAAGGTGAACTGGACACTCTAAATTGACCATAAGTGTGAATGAGAGTGTTGGTATTCTGTATGTTGGCCCTGTGACTCTCTGACCAGTGTAGTATCAGCTGGGATTGGCTAAATCCCCCCCCCCCCCCCCACAACCTTTAAAGGTGCAGTGTGTAGAATTTTGTGATATCTAGTGTTGAAGTTGCATGTTGCAGCTGAACACCCCTCACCTCACCCTCTCCTTCCAAACATGAAAAAGAAGGTGTGGTAGCTTCAGTTGTCATAAAAACTCAAAAGGTGTTTAGTTTGTCCAGTCTGGACTAATGTAAAAACACATGTCTTCCTCCATAGAGAGGGTCCCCTCGATGTAAATATAAAGTATATTATTGTAGTCATACAATTTAGATGAAACAAACTAAACATCATAAGGATCATTCTACATTCAATTTCTGCCAATAGATCCCTTTGATCTAAATCTTACACACTGGACCCTTAAAGGATAAGTCGTTCAGATAATGGATAATCTTGCTCTGGTTTCTCCTCTGAGACTAATCATGGAACCGATAATGATGTATGATTTCTTGTATTACGTGCTTGTTAATGATTCATCATCTATTCGCAGAAATTAAATTTTCCGACACAGTAGCTGCCCTGAGGTGGTTTCCTGTTCCTGGGAGCTGGGAACTCTTCAAATACTCTTGTGTCACCACAATGTTTCACTTGTTTCCACCTGCTCCAATGCTCTGAGTCACATGCACACCCTAAAAAATAAGTTTGGAGTCTTGCCACTGTCTTGAAGTGTAACATACTGGCAATGTGTTTTTAAAACCAGGTAACGTCTGTCTGAGAAAATTTGTTGCCTGAAGTTCAGTCTTCAGTTGATAAAACTGTGTCACCTTAACGTTCATTTAGTGGCTGTTCTAACGCTTTCAGTCATAATACATGATCTTCATGAGGAAATTGCCTTTACTGAGTTGTTGTAATGTTTATTCATTTTTTCTTCTTATCTGATATTTGTCCTCCAATATTACAAAAATACAGACGATGATGACGTCTTTTCCATTGTTTATAATTTTAATGATTTAAACAAATGAACTAAGCCAGTTTCTTCTTCTGCCTCTTGTTCTTCTTGGTATATTTTTCCATTCACCATCTGCTCCCTGTATTTCTTATGATTAACACTAGAGGGCTCTACTTCATCAATGATCAGCTGAAGATACAGGTTTGGCTAAACTAAGGTAAAGGTCTGCTTTTCTAAAGTTTACACAGCAATTAGATAAATATATCCATCTGTGAAATGGATTATTGTAAAGAAAAATTTAAATTCCACAGATAGGATGAAAATACATAAGTCTTAGGTGAGATATTTGTCTTTTCTAACCATATTCATTGTTACAGTATTACTGTTTTTTACTATTTCTATGGCACCAAAGTCCTGACTCTGACAGAGAGTTTTGACTGTTACTATAGTTACCAGCATATCCCAGCATGGTGTTGAACTGGAGGTCTTCCAGTTGCTTGCATCTAGGTCACCAGCTTCAATGTATTATTACGATCTCCTTTTTTAAGTGTAGCTAAAGAGATGTAACATCAGCAACATCATAAATGTTGCCATGATGACACCCTTTATTAAATCCATAATTAACACTGTGGCCAATACAGATGCATACAAAGCAGCTGTTTTTGTCTGGCTGTGAAAAAGATGGGCAGCTTGATTTGGTGTAATCTTGAACATCTGTGAGAGATTGTATGTGTGTGTCTCTGTGTGTGTGCACGGACATCTGCTTTCTATCGCCTGGTTCATGCTGCCCCTCTGCCCTGACGTACCATGGTTCAAATTACCTTAGGAAGCCAGATTGTTCAGGGAATACTAAGATCAGATCTGTGTGGATCCTCTTCTACATATCAATGTAATGTCAGGTAATCAAACAATCTCTGTATAAAATATAGTTGAGTGTATTTTCTCAACAAGACTATTTGTTGTCATGGATATGTGACAAACATTCAACATATTGGCTATTGCATCACCTTGTGGGGACCCAATCCTGCTTCCCACAATGTTAACCCTTACATTGTCAGGTCAAGACTTGTTTTATGGGTGATCATAGGGTAAAGATGGTGTTAGGCATGCAATGACTACATTGAAGTTCACAGTTATTGTTTGAGAAACTGATGTAAGTCAGAAAAGTAATGTCCTAAGTGAAAAAGCAATTTCCTGAATGAAAAAACCCTCGGACATTCCTGTGAATAGTTTATGGCTGGAGTGAAAAGGGCTTCCTGCTCTGATCTTCTGATCCCTGCTCAGCGCTGCTCATGACCCAGACAGGAGACCGTGGGTCTGGAAGGGGATGGGGGATGGTCTTTTTTTTTGGCTACCCAGAGTCCACCTGGGCCTCTCACTTTGAAGTCCTAGTCAGCAGAAAATCAGCTTCCCATTTGTTCATGTTGTTTTATGTAGATATGTATCTTTACAGCAGAGTTAATCTACTTGCCTAACAGGTCTTTCATGTTGTGTTGCAAGACGTAGTAACCTCATCAGGCTCATAAGGTTGCTGTTAGCCAGGAGTCAAAGGTCAGAGCTCATCCTGGTTCAGTTCATACATCAACAGCTTTTATGGAGAAATGAAGCCATGTTTAGAAATAAGTCCAATAATCATAAAAGAACATATAAAATAATGAACGTGGCTGGTGTGGTGTTTCACAGAGCTGGGCAGAGCAATGTCAGGTCTCCTCTGCTGCATCTGGTGTCCACAGATGCCTGCGGCTACATGAAAAATTTAACACAGTTTCCTCATGATGCAGCTGTAGAAACCTGCAAAAGCCAAGAAATAGTCAAAGATATAAAACCACAATGTGTCGTTCATCATTTTCAATTTTTTGTGGATGTTAATAAAGACATAGCATGTATGGACATATTTAAAGGCCCTAGTATAGTTATAGTCGCTATGATTCTAGTATTAGCAGTAGAGAGAAGGGACACAAAGGGAGGAGTGTGGTGACTCAAAGTCACACCGTGATTGTAAGATTGTGTAAAATAGTTTGACAAACCAAGGGCGAAGCCTGCATGTCTACATGTGTCATAACAATTTTCCCAGTCTTACAATTACGGTCATCTCACCACATTGAAGTCATTTGTGGTAAGGTGTATGCTCATCCTTGTGTGCTGTAATATGTATATAAATACATTTCCTGGAACCATACATCACCCACCACTTGAGGGTATTTGTTCATCCTGAGGACCCTCTCCCAAACCCTTTGGCAAAAACATAAATAACTCTTACATAAATATTTACATCACAAACAGTTTAGTCTAGTCCAGTGTTGAAAAGGTGTCATTTGTCTTTGTTTTGTGAGGGTTTAGTCTCATACATTAGTGTTTCCAATTAAGGTTGAATCTGTTGCAGAACCAGTTGTGCCCATTTACTCCTTTTAATTCCAACCTAAGTGTGTTGCGTTTTTTTAAGTGAATAAGAGGATTTGAAGAAAACAAGAACAATTTTTGAAAGGAACTTTCTCTTGTTTTAGATTAAAAAGAAAGACACAAAGCTTGTAGCTCCTTTAACTTTTTTTCCTTTTAATCTTATCTACACTCTCTTACTGTGTCCTGACTTTTACTTCATATTAAGTGGAGAGATACAAGAGTGATAATGATCTTTTCATCTGACTCTTGGTAAGAACAAGCCATGTTAACCAAAGGAAGCAACCAGTATAATGCTACCTTTCACACACAGAGGGAATATTTCATGTGTTGGATATTTGAATGCAAACTAACATCTTTGCTGTCACATCGTACACCTCGTCACATGATGAGAAGAAAAACAGAATTTGGTTTTGAAAGAGAAGAAGGGGAACAATAGTTTGATGAGTCCATATCTAAAAGTGAGAGAAAACCCATGATTCAGTTGGAGCTGGTGTAGGAGAGAAGATGCGGGGGCAGGAAGAGGCCCACATTAAGCACACACACACACACAACATGAGAGTTTCACACATGTTTTCATTTAACCCTTTACAACATGGAAGGCTGATGGAGAGGAATGAGGAAAGTTGGATCCGCCCCCTTGGACAAATCCTTGTCAGGAAGTTTAAAAAAACAAATACTATAATAGGTTTGGTTATCATCTTTGGCAGCTTTATTATTGATAGGACAAAATGTTCTAAACCCATTTAATAACCATATGGTTAAAAAAAAGTTCCACTAAACCCACTTATGACCAGGTTTTGTACAAAATCTTGCACATGCACTTTTGGCAGTATAGATCCAGTTGTCTGACTTCATTAAGGAGGGTATGTTTTCATCCTGATGGCTTCCTCCCGAACCCTCATAGCAATAATATGATCATTCTTACATAAATACTTACTCACAAATAGTTTAACCTATTCCAGGATTGAAATATTGTATAATTTGTTGTCTTAAAAATCATGTCTGTCTCTAGATCTGTGTTTTATTTAAGTTAACATTGATGTCATACATTAGAGCTTCCATTAAGTTATTAAGTACACAGTAAAACACCTCTGAGGATTTTGTGCAATGGTCAGCATGTGGCATTGTTCACTTTATGGCCAGAAAGGATAACTAACATTTTAAAATAATTTTGTATTTTTTATCCAGTGAGCTTTGGCACCAAAATCAAAGGTGCAAATAATGAGGAAAAGTATGCTTCAACTCAGAGGGGGTGAATATAATGCATGCAGATGGGAAAACCTCCCCTCACAGCCTCTGCATCGCACATCCCTGGTATTGGTGGAGAAGTAGGTTCCAGACTGGGGGTGAGGGGTGTGGGGTGTGCTGGGCCGTGCCTGAATGAACAAAACGGGGTGCAGGAGGACGGATTATCGGGTGGAAGCAACCAACAGAAAAAGAATGGAGAGGGGTGGAGAGGGGGATGGCAGAAGGGGATAGAGAGCAGGGAGGGGATGAGAGGTATTTTTTGTTGAGTGATTGTCAGAGTCCCCTCCACTCCTGAGCTCACTTTGAGAGAGAGGGGGGACAAAGAGGGCCAGTCTACCCCTGATCAGGTAGGTGTGTGTGTGTGTGTGTGTGTGTGTGTGTGTGTGTGTGTGTGTGTGTGTGTGTGTGTGTTTGTATGTGTGTGACATGTGTCTGTCTGTCACTGCAATGTCTTTTCTGTGAAAACTCATAGGGGAAATATTAACACATGATGATAGAGATACATTTTGAGAGGCGCTTTTTTGTCTTCTGCAAAATCAGACGGTCATTTTCCCACAATTCTGGGGCTACAGAGAGAAACTTTTATAAAGGTGGTATTCATGGTCTTTTCCTTTTTTTAACGTTTTCTCTCTGGATTAAGACCCTTAAGAATGTGCCTCTCTGCAGGCTGTTTCCAAAACAAGGCCAGTGCCTGCATTGCCCTGCTCGGATCCAAAGGTGTGAGACTGTGTGCTTTTACAGTTTAATTCTTTGACTTTGTTGCTGAATGAACATTTTATTAATTCATTATCCATGTACCTCTACATTATATAAGAGAATAACTTTGAAACAGAAACAACTTTTTTCCATCTCTTTATTCTAAACTGTTACAAAATAATTATGATTTGTGACTGTGACACTCTAAATGTTCTTGCCATTTCTGTCTTTATAGATTACATAAAGGTTCTGTGTGACTGCGACAATGTTCCTGGCGACCATCTTCTTCTTCTCTGCCCTGCTCCCATTCTCTCTTTCCCAACAACGGGACCCCTTCGCTTGGCTGTATGGCCGCCAAGGAAACGCTTTCGCCTCCCTGCAGGCGGGCACCTCAGGAGACCAGTGTCCGGAAGAGTGTGACTGCCCCCCCACATTCCCCATTGCCATGTACTGTGACGGGAGGGGCCTGACAGCCATGCCAAATGTTTCTGCCCATATCAAGTACTTGTACCTCCAGAACAATGCCATCACTGCTGTGCCCGAGTCAGCTCTGGCCAATGCAACCAGTCTGGTGTGGTTAATGATGCACCACAACCAGCTGACATCTGAAGCCATTGACAAGAAGGTAAATTCGGCATCTGGTCTTAGTCAGATCCAGACACACATGAGCTCAGAGCTGCAGCTCTGAATGGATGTCAGATGGCTGGCAGCTGGTCAACAGGTTGAGTAATTACAGAGAAAACGGGACAGCTTTATGTTTGCATGTGTGAGGAGGAAACATTTTTATGTGTTGTTCTTTCATGTCTGTTTCCCTCTTCGCTACAGTAGACATACTGGGTCATACAGATATTCATGATGATGAATATCTGCTTCAGATTTTCATCTGATGGAAATTCAGAAAATTGACTGACTGACTGATTGATGGACAGAAAAGATCTTCCCTCTTTAAATGTCTATCATAATGGCATATATTTAAATGACTAAATGTGATGTTCGACTTTTTCAAACCTTTTGATGGTGAGTTTGGTGGAATTCACTGTTATGTCACTCACCCTCTACATCACATTCAGGTGTTTTTGAAGTTGAAGGGACTGGAGCGTTTATATCTACAGCACAACAATCTGACCAGCATTCCTCCCAACCTCCCTCGCTCCCTGCGAGATCTGAGAATCAGTCATAACAACATTGAAAAGGTAATAGTTTGCATGGATTGATATTCATGCAGAGCTCCTCCCCACCCTTTTAGATTTTAAAGCTATCACACTGTTGCCTAGGTATCACCTGCAGACCTAGAGGGAATGGATAACCTCACTATCCTGTATCTCCATGATAATGCGCTCACAGACATGAGCACATCACTGAAGGCACTGACATCTCTCACACTGCTGGACATCAGTGGCAACAAGCTGACAAAGGTAAACAAATGTTTTAATATATGTCCCATTGAATGTACAGACAAGATACGGACCTCCTAGAGAATTTTCAAAAAAATGATCCCAGGTCCCAGAGGCCCTCCCTGACCATCTGCACCAACTCTATCTGGAGTCCAACTCCATCGACTCAGTGCCAGAGGACTTCCTGGGCAGTCTCACACAGCTGCAGTATATCAGGATGGCCAACAACCAGCTGACAGACAAGGGCATCCCTCCCAACACCTTTAACGTGACGGGGCTGGTGGAGCTGGACCTGAGCTTCAACAAGCTGGAGAGGATCCCCATAGTCAGCACCACACTGCAACACCTCTACCTGCAGGCAAACCAAATCAAAGGTAACATACATACGAATCTAAATGTCAATATCCCTCAAGACCATTCTGTTCTATTTCTTTTTATTTTGTTATGTTTTTTTATTTTCTTAGATTCTTTTTGGAATTCTACATAAAATAATTAGACTCAGGACCTTAGGGTCAGAAATGTCCAAATCAAAACCCATTAAATGTGTTCTGAAAGTCCTGGCTGCGGAATTGTAGTTCCACTATCATTCGCAAAATGCTAATTTGGAAAGCCCCGAACAAAGCCAGGTAAAACAACAGTGGAGGCCGACATTTCCTGCATGCACTTGAAGCTTTTGACCAATCACAACAACATGGGCCAGCTGGCCAATCAGAGCAGACTGGGCTTTGTTGGGAAGGGGGGCCTTAAAGAGACAGGATATTTCAGACGGAGGCTGAAAAGAGGAGCTGCAGCAATGGGCAGCATGAAGAAGGTGATGTTAAAGTTTAGATGTTAATATTTTGTTAGCGTTAAAATTAAGCTGGATATGAAAATATTCTGTCCCATTTAAAGGTTACAATCCTGAAAATGATGTAATATTTAATGGTGGTTTAAATAATAAACTATATTAAAGCTGAATAATGCCACTACATATTACTTTCATGCTATCATTTGAGTCAGACATTTTTGTCCTTAAACAACCTGAGTGTTATGTTAAGGGTTTTTACATCTGCCTTATGGAAGCATCTCTTACTCTGTCCTGTTTCTGTAGAGTTCACTCTGGGGAGTTTCTGCAATATCGTGGATGTGACCAATTTCTCCAAACTCCAGACACTGAGACTGGATGGAAATGAGATCAGTCGCCAGGACATCCCCTCAGAGTCATCCATGTGTCTGCGGCTGGCTTCCGACATCGAGGTCTAACTATGTGAACAGCACAGCTTGTGTGCACCATAATGTAACACATTGTTTTTGTGATGTGCAAAAAGCAAAGTGCAGCATGAGATGGCAGGAGCTCATATCTTCTATATATCATTCTGAGAAACTTAAAGCTTAAACATGGCCTGGCCTCTGTCAAAAAATCTAAATCTAAATTAGACTTATCTGCTTCAATTACGGTCAATAAATGTGTTTTTTTTGGCATATTGAAAATAACCCTGATTTGATTGATCAATACGTTGCTGTGAGGGTCAATGATCTTTGTATGTTATGGTATATATAATGTTTAT